TCTGAAGCTGGATTTGAACTCAGGTCCTCCTGACTCCAAGACCAGAGCTCTATTTGCTGCGCCACCTAGCTGCCCTTGTCACATGAAATTTGATTCAACATTTATTAAATGTCTACTATACACAAGTACTGCCCTAGGCTAATGGGATATAGAAAACAACAGTTTCTGCCTTCAATAAAAGTACATTTCTGGTGGAATAAAGACTTGTCTTGTTTTACCTTAGAGGCCAAAAGCAGAAGTAATGAGCAGAGGGAGCAAAAAAGCAAACAGAGGTTTGATATAAAGGAAAACATGCTAATAACACAAGTCTTTCTAAAAGAGCTACCTCAGGAAGTCATCTGCCCCCTCCCTCCCCCCCCCAGCCACCAGAGGTCTTCCCTTAAAGGTCACACAGCCACCTCTCAGGGATGCTGGAAAGCAAGTCCCTGTTCGGTTATAGGTTGAACTAGGAGCCTCAGAGTTCCCTTTCCACTCTGAAGGTCTGTGACTGTGATCTCAAGTTAAGAATACAAGCCCTCCAAGCAAACACATGCCAGGAAGGATGACCACATCCTGCGGCTCTGTGACTGAACCAATATCAGAACCCTCAACAGCTGTCCCTGACTCCTATGAAAAGATTCATGGCTAAAAAGATTCCAATTCAAGTAATGCTGAGATCCAATAAATCCTCCAATTCAGGGAAGAGTAAAAGTTTATGTCCTTCAGCTTGATCTCAGAAACAACTTAATGATAATCATTCAGCACCACAAGCCTGGTGACAACACAGATCCAGCTATAAGGAGATGAGCAAGTAGGCTCTGACCACTGGAGGTGAGGAAAAGAAAAGATGTCTTTAAGCTGCTTTGTAGGTGGTCACTCAGTCAACTAAGCAGCTTCTATTGAGAGCAGTTCCCTGTAGAGAAATAGTGTCAGCTTATTTCCAAAATTAACCCAGTCTTCCAAGGTACCAATCAGTCAATACACATTTACTAAGCACCTACTATGTGACAGGCACTGGGCTAAGCACGGGGGATGCAAAAAGAAGCAAAAGATAGCCCCTGCCCTCAAGAAGCTTATAATCTAATGGGGGGGGGACAACTCGATATGTAAATATATACAAACAAGCTATATACAGGATATATAGAAAACAGTGGAGGGAAAGCACCAGAATTAAGATGGGTTGGGGAAGGCTTCCTATGGAAGGTGGGATTTTAACTGGGACTTAAAGGAGGCCAAAAGGTGGAGATGAGGAGGGAGAGTGACAGCCAGAGAGAATATCCATAGGTGGGAGATGGTGTCTTGTTTGTGGAACAGCCTAGAGGCCAATGTCACTGATGGAAGAGCACCATGGAAGTGCACAAGTTGAGGAGTAATGTGTAAGAAGACTAGAAAGGTAGGAAGGGGTAGGTTATGAAGAGCTTTGAATGATAAATAAAGCATTTTGTATTTGCTCCTGGAGGTAACAGGGAGCCATTGTAGTTTATTGAATTGGGGGGGTGGAAGGTGGCATGATCAGACTTAAGTGATAGGAAAATCACTTCAGTGGAAGACAGGATGGATTGGAATGGAGAAAGACTTCAGGCAGGCACACCCAGCAGCAGGTTATTTGAGTACTCAAGGCATGAAGTGACGAAGGCCTATACTAGACTGGTGGCACTGTCAGAGATGAGAAGGGGGCATATTCAAGACATGCTGCAAAGGTGAAATCAACAGGCCTTAGCAACAGTTTGGATACAGGGGGTGAGAGACAGTGAAGAATGCAGGATGACTCCTAGGTTGTGAGCTTGAGGGACTGGGAGGATGGTGTTGCCCTCTATAACAGGGAACACAGCAGTGGGAAAGGATTTGGGGGAAAACAATGAGTTCTGTTTTGAATATGCTGAGGTATAAAAATTACTTAACAGGCTTTGAATCTGACTCCACTTTAAGAACATGCTTTCTCAAGTTTAAGAAAATTAGGACTCAAACTTACTCAGTAATACATGAAAATAAATGACTGGAAAGTCAAAGGACAAATATATGTATAAGCCCTGTCTCTCTCCTGAAAAGAAGGGGCTTTTGCTCCTTTCTTTAATTTAGTCTCAATACCTGAAGGAACATGCTGGCCAAGTCATCCTCTGGTCCCAGGACCCGGATCTGAGTGATGGCTCGAATCCTTCCCTGGCTCTGTGAATGCTCTGGACTGGTTTTTGGTTTAGGTGCATCTGTACTATCTGAAGGAAGATAAAAACAAAGGTGTTGAAATGACAACCAGCTTCCAAGGAAGGAGGAAATCTTCTGAAACCAAAAGCATAATGAAAAGAACACCGAGCTTTAGAGTCATAGCTGTGTAACCTTGGGCAAAATTACTTCTAACTCATGTCTTTTAAGCCTCATCTATAAATAAATAGTTAAGTAAATATTAACACTGCCTACTTCACAAAATTTTTACAAGGATCAAGTGAAACAACAAATGTGAAAATCCTTTGTAACCATAAAATCTGGCTACAAATGGAGGCTCCACTCCAGGGCCTTGAGTAAAACCCCTCAGTATCTCAAGTATTTGTCCTGACCTAGATCAGGCTCCACTCCAGGGCCTTGAGTAAAACCCCTTAGTATCTCGTGTATTTGTCCTGACCTAGATCAGGGTGCATGTGTCCACTCTAAATAGGGAAGAGGGACATTAGTTCAAGAATACAAGGTAACAAAGGTAACAGCTATAAAAAGTCACATTCAGGATGTTCACATCAAGCTTAGAAACCTGGATTTCTTCTTGGGCATAGAAGAAAGCTTGTGCCATACCTCGCCGAGGGGGCAGAGAGGCAGTGAGCAGCGAGTGGAAAGTCTGGCCGCCTGTGGCTCCTCTTTCATGCTGAACTTCCACCAGATGAGCCATATAATCTGCAAAGCAACATGTCAACAATATAAACATACAAGCATGAAGTACAGTCCTTCCCACAGCAACCAAGGCTGGAGGACAGTCACTCTAAAGCTGATTTCCAGCAGAGTTCACCAAAAGCTCCTGAAGACTTCAGCATCTGAGCTCAGCTGGTGGGAAAGAGTCCCAAACACAACACTGACCTGACAGCTTATGCCCAAAATATGGGTTACTCGTTAACCTGTCTGGCCTACCTGACAGCTGGGCCAATGAATTTGGCAATCTGGTATCATAATAGCAACTCTGGCTCCAGAAACCAGACTCTCCTTCTGCAAACCTTGCCTGGCTACCCCAACTCACCCTGTTCCCTTTTTTTTTTGGCTAGGCAATGGGGTTAAGTGACTTGCCCAGGGTCACACAGCTAGTAAGTGTTATGTGTCGAAAGCCGGATTTGAACTCAGGTCCTTCTGAATCCAGGGCCAGTACTCTATCCACTGTGCTACCCAGCTGTCCCCCCTGCTCCCGTTTTTTGAGCTCCTATTGTACTTATAAGCAGTGCCACACAGATTAGCACTTAATTATTCACTAACTGCTTCATGTAAGTTTTATCTCCCCAGCTAGACCATAAGCTTTTTAAGTGTAACCACCCCCCCCCCAATCTCTTCTGCTCCTCCACTGTGCCCAGTGTATTGTTCATCACTCAGCAAACCAGTCAACTGACTGACGGGTGTCTGGTTGGGCTATGCAATACAGCCGAAGCAGTCCTTACTCTTGTCCATGATGTTTTGCTCCAGGGTCTGGGGATCATGGGACACAGCCTGGTCCAAGTACTGCAGAAGTTTACTCATGCTGGAGACAGGAATTCCAAAAGATTGAACAAAGAGAAGCAGCTGCTGAGGCTCCAGGTCCTGCAATGCTGGAATCAACAGGCTCACTCAACAAACAGCAAATAAGAGTGAGGGCTTGGGAGCAGAACTAGAGGGAGACTGGGGACAGGTCTAAGCAAGGGGGAGGAACGGAGGTCGGGGGAGTATTGTTTTCAGCCAGATCTGTACAAGTCTGGGCCTTTCCTGCAGCTGGGCAGTAATTCAGGCAGGCACGTAGAAGGGAAGAAAAGAGGTAGCTCCAGAGGCAGGAGCTAAATTCACATACTTCAAAACTTTAAAAGATCCATGAATCCATCAGGGTAAAACCTTCTGCCAACAAAGACAGCAACCGTTTCATGTCTTGGTAGATTGTTTCATGAGTACTATGGCCAAAATAATTCATCACCTGATGACCAATCTTCAGGTGATGAGCCTTTCCAAACTTATCTAGGCTGGTTCCTCAGAAGACACTCAGCTGCCATACATGAAGAATTCCCAGGGTAACAGAAACTCTTTCAAAGCTCATGCTTTGCTGACACAGCTCCAAAAATCCCAGGATCGTGTCTATACCAAGAGGAGGTCTTAAACCCAGACCCTAATTCCTCTCACCAAAGCCAAGCCAAATGTTCCCCTCCATAACTATGTGGGTTACACGATGCCTTCTTGTGCCTCCTGTTTCCCTATAAGGTTAACTGATATTCATTTTCCATCTACTTTTCCCTGGTTCCCACACTCTCAAATGAGATAATATTCGTAAAACACTTAGCACAGTGTCTGGCACACAGTAGATGCTATATAAATGCTTATTTCCTCCTCCCCTTCCCCATCACTATGATTTGTAGCACATGTATTGCTCCTCCAGGCTACAGGCTTGCTCTTAGTTCTAGTGCCCTGAGAGTAACACTTTAGATAAGGTTAGTTTGTTTTTTAAAAACTTCCCTTTGGGGTAGGATCTTGCTTAGGTTATTTTGTTTTTGTGTACAGAATTTATGAGAATTTCAATTGTGTTTCCTAAAGATCAAAAAGTAATTAATGAATCCACCAAAACTGTCATCTGTCTGCAAGGCCGTCACTGGGTCATTACCCACATGTGCTTCTAAAATTTCTACAGCTGCCCACCATGCTCACTCCCTTCCAAAACTGCAGCCAAGTCCAAAGGAGGGTGACAAAGATGGTGAAAGGATTCAACACCATGCTAGGTTTTGGTTGAAAGAACTTTTTCGGAACAAAAGATTTAGGGGAAACATGCTATGTCCAAACATGTCATGGAAAAAAAGGACAGGATTATTTTCTTTAGTTCCAGAGGGCAGAACAAAGGCCCAGCTATAAATTACAAAGAAGATGATGCTGGCTTGATATAAGGAACACTTTCCTAATAATCAGAGTTGTCCAACTATAGAATGGGCTTTCTTAAGAGGTAGTGACTTCTCTGACACTAGAGGGCAAGTGAAGGCTGGGTGACCTCTTGTCACCCTGCTCAGGAATGGTTTGGTACAGAACAGCGCTTCTTAAACTGTGAGTCTCAACCCCATGTGGCATCGCAAAATATTTGGTAACAGTAAAAGTTTTCTGAACGCATGGCCAAAAATTAATTAAAACTCAAAAGTGTAACGAATCCGAGGTGCTTCTGGCAGCACTTGCCCGTGATGCATCCCAGCCAACCTCACTGCAGTTTGGTTCTGAAAACAAGGCATGGGTACTTTGCACTGCACATGCCCTCAGCCACACAAAGCCAACTAAATGTTGCCTAAACAGGAAAAGGGGTCGCAAGGGGAAAAAAGTTTAAGAAGCTCTGGTCTAGATGACTCTCTGAAATCCCTTTTCAACTCTCAGATTCTATGAAAAATTTTAAATCACTAATCTAAGAAAACAAAATATGCCTGTAACATATGTATTCAGAATTCCTTTAAAACATTAGATCCCAAAGAAATCAATCTAACCAAAAGCTAACAAAAAGTAAAGTTTATATTTATTTTGTGCCTGCAGCTTGATTTCTTTTAGGCACATGCTGATTTTCATAATTCTTAGAAAACCGGGAACAGTGACTCAATAGAGCAAAAGCTAAGTTAACTTTATTCACTATTCCAAGGTAGGAAAGAATCCCTAGGAGTGGTCCATCAAGTGGTGAATTGATATTCATAAACTGCACTGTGGAAGACAAGATCCTGGAGATTCCTTGGCCTCTTGGCCCCCTTTCCTCTTAGATGTAACATCTGGGAGGGGTCCAGGAGCAAAAATGAGTCCAAGGTTTAACACCCAGAAACTCTCTGTTATCCATTCTCTTTGAAATAAGAAACTCCTGAGACAAAGACTGGCATGGAGTCTAGCTTACCAGCATCCACCAGCCGAGGTACCTCTGAGCGGATCATGCGAAGCTTCAGCCAGTCAGGAAGCAGCAGGGCTTCCTCAGACGTATCCACGAGGAAAGCAGTTGGCAAGGGCTTCTTCTCTGGGAACCAGATGTCCAGTAAAGCATGGAACTCACCATCTCCGGCTTCAAAAGAGGCCACAACAAAATACACATCATGGCCTAATTCAATCATATACAGTCCCATATTCTTCTGCACCAGAGGAAAAAAACTGCTTTTCTTTTTCTACCTGTTGGGTGGTTTCTTTTAGACTCTAAACACACGATCTCATTTTCTTTCTACCAGTTTACCCACAGAGTAAAAAGCAAGATCAGAGCAGGGTGCCAGATCCACCCCCCTGGTCAATTAAGAAAAAATCCAGCGTTCAGGAGAGGGTCTCCAGTAGAGTTAAACTTATAGGTAAAAATGACGAAAGAAAACATAGACTGAAACCAGTCAAACTTCAAAAGAAATAAAACTGGTGAGTGGACATTATTAAAGTTACTCATCAATCTTTAGTTTTCCAGGTGGGGTTCAGCATCGCCTCTAGCTGTTCAGTATAGAACGTTAAGGATTCAGGAATCCTATTCCACCTCTTCTCATGGCTCCAAGCAGGAAGTGCAGCTCAAGAACTCCCAACTCACCTTGTGGAGGCCCCAATGTGAGAAGAATGACCATGGCATGGACTACAAGTATATGCATAGTGGCTGTTTCTCCACTGGTCCATCGAAGAAACACCTGGTCCTGGGACTCTGACTACAGGAATGCAAAGGTAGGGAAAAGTGACCGAAGGAGAAGAAGCTGGCCCACCTCTATTTTATGACTGCAGTGTTAAGGTGAAGGAGTAAGCCTACGAGGAGGCAATTACTTACCCAGCTATAAACCTCCTCCCCTTCTTTGCTCTTGCGCATCCGCCTCACGTAGCGTGAGAAGATAGAGAGCAGTGCCACAAGTACTGCATCAGATTCCGCGCTATAGGAAAGTTTTGAAAAGAGGTGGGACATGATGGTGGAGCGCTCAACAATTAGCCGGGCCACATCCTAAGGGAGAGAGACAACTTTGCAAATTCTCCTTGAGAGCAGCCATCTGATCTTCCCCATGAAGACTGATTATCCTTTCTGTCCTTGATGCTCTGCCAGCAGAATCTTCCCTCCCTGCCAGGTCTCTATTACTGTGGAAGGTTTTACCTTCTCTCTGGCATCCCTCATGTCAGAGTGTGTTTATATATACTGAAATGAATGTCTGATTAGCCAACAGGGGTCTAACAGATCAATGAGAGCAGAGATGTCACATAGAGGTATAAAAGGAATTTAATGCAGAGCTTCTTAACCTGGTACCCATGAACTTGGTTTTTTAAAACGATATCTTAATAATTGTACTTAACTACAATTGGTTTCCTTTGTAATATTGTGCATTTTATTTTACACATTTAAAAACATTATTCTGAAACCTCCAGAGTTTTCACCAGATTGCCAAAGGGGGTCTATAAGAATCCCTAGTAGACATAATACCTAAATTTGTTCTACACACTAACTCAATGGTAACTACAAAAATAATCAGGGAAAGGGAAGGCAAGAAGGACGATATGAAGTTTTAAAACTATATATGTGATTGCCAGAATTATGGAAGTTAAATGCTGCACTAGGCACTGTAGATCTATGGGTCTACAACCAACTGGCACTGATACAAGATCATCTTTTAGGATGAGGTCTCATGTTTAGAATTCTCCACACAAAGCTTACACTTTCACCCCATCATATATTGTGAAGGACCTGTTTTTGTACAAGTTCACTGCCCTGCACTCACTACCCTCCTCTGTTGCCTCACTGGGGAATACAAGGTGACCTTGGAAGTAGGGCCAGCCAGACACAACTCTGGCAGGTCCTTACAACACAAGCCTGATGTGTTTTGAGTAGAGTGGGTGATGAACTTTATGCCTGATGTCCAAGCACCAACCTGGCTAGAACTAGAAAGGCCCATGACCAGAGTGGCCAGCCACAGGGGATGGCATATCCACACCAACAAAACCACAGATCCTTGAAGTATTAGAGATACTGGCAACGCGGGTGAAACCTACATGACCACCCATACCTTACTACTCACACCATCGGAGACAAAATGAAGGCACCACTGCTCACTTTTGTGGCAGTTTGCCCTAACTGCAAGCAAAGTGTGTACAAGAACTAAATAACCTCTTTTGAACACTGTATTTTCAAGTGTGATGTGACAACAGCAAACTTCACAGACACTCACTCATATTCTAGTACAAAGTCAATACCACTAGTGACAAGAAAACTTCATCAACTCCCAGCCCCCACCTCCAATCCTAGAGCATTCAAAACATTATTCAAGCATAAGCTGGTTTAGAGCCAAGCTTCAGAGAGACTATACTAAGTGGCTCTGAACAATCAACCAACCAATATTTACTGTGCCAGAAACTACAACGTACATTCTTAAAGAAAACACCAGTCCCTTCTCACCAAAGCAAGATCGTTGTGTTGTCCCTGCTCCTCCACTGGGGCATGCTGAGAGAGATACACGAGGTAGGCGCTAATAGTCTGAGGGTCCGTTTCCATGTGGATAGCCTAGAACGAGAAAATGAGAGAGGATTTCCTTGAAATCATCAGCAAAAGGAGAAATGTGACCCCTGACAACAGCTCCTGCTGTGCTCCCTGGGTACCACCATCCTAGTTCAATACAACCTTCAAAGGTAGCTGGCATCTCTTTCTTCCCTTGACATGCCTCTGCATACTCTCACCTGCTGCAGGGCCAGAGCGGTTGTGTTTCTGACACTATCAAACAGCGGTAATCGTGGCAGATCTCTCAATAGCCACTGGTATCCCTGAAGCATTTCTGAGTCACCCGAGTCTTCTTCCATGGGATGGTCTTTCTCCTCTCCATCACGAAGCCCACCTTCTGACAACACCAAGGACAATCCCTACAAGTGTACACATAAGACAATTGTGACTGAGATTCCATAAAGGTCTGATGTCTTTAGCCAGAAACAATGTTATCTGTAACAATTTGGGTAACATAACCTGATTCCCAAATGAGATTCTAGAGAAACAGAAATTAGGGTCATAGAATTCTGCTATAAATCTATGGGAATTTTTTTTAAGACAAAAAACTATCTTCTATCAAACTATTAGTGTGGGATATATTTCCTTAATAAGACCACCAACTTCTCCTTAAACTCGCAGAAAATAGAGAAAGTCTGGTCTACTCTGACAATCTCAAAATGAAATTCTCAAGTTCTCATCTAGTGTAGGCATGCCAGACAAGTAAATTAAAAAATTTTAGATTTTGCCTTTTGCTTTCACTAATGGTATCATCCCTGTGATGTTAGGCTCTTAATTTTTCAATAGCTATTCACAAGACTTCATTATAGAGAACCCTATTAGACTGTCAACTATGACTGCCATGGTACTGTAATGTGGGTATCTGCCTAGCACGGTATTGAATAAAAGGTTTATTACTGCTAAAGGACAGGATAACATATTCTGAAGACCACAATTAGTGTTCCCACGTGAGTTTTACCTTCATGGCTAATACCCTGGAGGCCACTTGAGAGGAACTAAGGCGCCGCAGGAAGTAGTCCAGCACCTCACAGGTGGTCTGCTCATCAGCCTTGGGGCCTAGCAGCAAGTCCTGCAGGCGGCCAAGCAGCTGTCGCTGCTTCTGCTGCCTCTGCAGAGACAGGAGAGGTTGCTTCTGATGAGACTGAAGTGGAGAGGCTCGGTTCAGAGCTGAGCTCCTGCCTGAGGGAGCACTGACCTGGCGTTTCTTGGCCCTCTGCTCTTTGCTCTCTCCCTCCTCCTCTTCCTCCCCTGAGGTGGCATCATCAGCAGCATCATGAAGCAGGAACTCACACAGACACTGTACCGGCAGCACATCCAAAGAGCCCTCACTCGACTGAACCAGGTCTGCTAGCCAGGGCATGGATTGGGAGGAGGCCTGCGGGTGGCAAAGAGAAAAATATTAACTAAAGGATTTATTGTCCTCTCTCTGCACAGAAGACACAAACATACATAGTCAGAAAGGATATGAGGTGGCTTACAGAGAGAAAGCCATTATAAAATAGTATACTCGAGAAAACAATCTATTAAAAAGAAACAGTATTTTTTCAAGAACATGAGAAGACTGAATGACTACAGCTGAACAGTGAAAAATAGTATCAAGACATTATTCTTTTAATTCTTTAAACCTCAAATCTTCCCCAATCTTCTGCGATAAACAATTCTCTGCATAATTCACAAATCTCCTGTACCATAAATACAAATACAGTCCATTTGAATACTTCCCCCTCAAATATAGACATGTAACTTATATATTTATGTGATCATATTTCTATCATCATTATATTTAAGAACACCAAAGTGACTCTGCTTTTACTGCTAGCACTATAGAGCATTCGAGTCCCCGGACTGAAAGCAAATGACATTTCCCCTAAAAATGGCTTTGATAAAAATCAGATGGCCTACACCACCTGCGACCCATTTGATGTTTTCCTCTACATTTTTCTAGGGCCACCCAAAATCCTTTAGCATGCCTGCAGGCCACAGGTGGTGCAGGCCTGGTCCAAATCCTCCATCACCTTCCTGTTCCATGAAGTTAAAATGATTCTTGAATATCCTTGCAGCCTTCTACTCTAACACTCTCAAACCTCTGTTTACTCACCTGTCTTTGAATGATGTCAAGGAGAAAGTCTGGGTTTCGGCTCCTACATAGGAGGTGACCAAGGCGGAGGGACTGATTAAGTCCTTTCACTTGCTCCAAGATGTGAGGTGGAGGTCTTCGTGGGGAGCCCCTACAAGGGAAAAAGTGCATTAACAAACCTTGGTACAATTACAAAAGAACCACTATGTCATATCTCACAAGATGAGATAAAACAAGCCAGTCATTTGCTGAATGTTCCTTTCTTCTTCCTTTGCATATTTCTTCCCTCTCCCCCCCAAAAATTTTTGTTATAAGGAATGGCTCTCCAGAAGGTGGAAAGATATACAAGGGAAATCTAGGTGATGATTAAGCTCTGTTTTAAAAAAATGGAAAAGACAATCCACCCAGAGTAAAGGAAAGGGTATTTAGAGAGAGGTTGTAGAGAGCCACAGGTCATTCATGTATCCAGACCTACAGAACAAAAAATCCTTTCCAAACACAGATCCCTATACTGTTATCTCCTTTCTGTTCCATACGTTTTTAACAAATAGTTATTGGATTTACCCTATTTATATCTTAGATAAAATTTCAGAATAGCACTTAAATGGTGAGAGAGGGCAGTGAGGACACCAGAAGCGGCGAAAGGTAGGAGATAAAGAATTTGCTATGAAGACTGAGGAAAACTATCCAGGCTCATCCAGTCTTACTGGGGATCCAAGCTGGTAAGCTGAGACAAGAGGAGGCTGCTGCTCTCAGTGATTGTTTGCTTGGTGGATGCAGCTGCTAGATGTCCCTCGAATGCCAGGATTTCCTGCTTCTCCCGCTGGGAAATCTGGAGCTCTCGATTAATCATCTCAGTCCGGGTCTCCTCATCCGTCAGGGTGCAAGGAGGATACGAGTAATTACTAGGGACCAAATGAGAAGGAACTTGTTATCATGCCCTGTGTTAAACGCTAAGTCCCATTAGACAGCACTGAAGGTCAAAAAGGGTCAAAACTCATGACACCACTTGCTTGGCCACAGCTCGAGCTGTCACCATGGAAGCCCCAATGGAGCGATCAAAAACAATGATAAAAGCTAAAGCTTTTCTGAGATTTTTCTACCACAGAGATCAACTTCAAAAAGCTTACTATTATCACCAATACTGCAGGGGGATTTTTGTTTCCTCACTCCAGTCCGGTAAATGTCATTCCAGAGCACTTTAGTTAACTCCTGTGTGTCTCTCCCCACAATCATTACCGCACTAAAAGGGACAGGGGAGAACGGAGGGCAAACAGGACTTCTGAATCTGAAAATTCAAGATCTACACCATGGGTTTTTCTTAACCTGGAGCCCATGATCTTTCAAAAATAGGTATTTTCTGATAACCATATTTCAATACAATTAGTTTCCAATACAATTACTCTGAGAAGCGGTCCATGGGCCTCACCAGACTGCCCAGGGGTCCAGATACAAACAAAAGGTTAATCCCGACCTGGCGTACACAGAGAGAGAAAGCTCACTTTGTCATCACCATTTCCATGAGCATCTTCAGCGTAGGGTACTCTTCCCAGGCTGCCAAGCCTAAAGGGTAAACACAAAGCACCAAAGAACAGGCAGTGAAGTATCAGACAAGGCTGCGTGCTAACAGTGTTTGCTCACAAGATCAGCTGACAGGCACCTGTCAGTGCTCAAGCTACAGGAAGGTCAGGTCTCCATACAGCTATTACTTTGGTTTTGGGTTTTCACCTGCTCCTTGTCCCTCATGGATAATCCCCCAGGAGTCAGACTGTAATCTATATCCTAGGAGGCTGGCACTAAAGTCCCCACATTCCAAGAAGCGATTTTTGAGCCATAAAAAGTAGTAAGTATGCTTACCGATATTTTCAGGATTAAATGCAGCTACCACCAGCAAGAGGGGCCATGCCTTCCAGTAAAGGGTTGAAATAGCAAGATTTGGGGGCTTGTATCTGAAATAACAGTGGAGAATGGCAATCAGAGCATAGCTACTCTGAAAACAAGTACAAAAGTAGACAGGTCAGACAGACATGAAGAGGCAACCTGTGACCTGGAACAGAAAATTATCAATGTCCCTAGGGTCTGTGATTTTAGAATGACATCATTCAGGAATGTGCAACTAGGCAACACAATGGATAGAGTATTGGCCCTGGAGTCAGGAAGACTCACCTTCCTAAGTTCAAATCTAGCTTCAGACACTTACTAGCTATGAGACCCTGGCCAAGTCACTTCACCCTATTTGCCTCAGTTTCCTCATCTGTAAAATGAGCCGGAGAAAGAAAAGGCAAACTACTCCAGCATCTTTGCCAAGAAAACCCCAGAGTCATGAAGTCAAACACGACTGATAACTGAACAACATTCAGGAATTGTTACAAAGAATATTTTCAAATTGCAAATTCATCACTTCCAAAATGGGCTCACACCAACCGGTGTTATGAATTGCTGGCTTCCCTGAACCTAATTTTTACCAAATTTCATCAAAATTCACTACAAATTTCAGAAGATCCATAAGCCCATTGGAATCCACAAACAGAATTTTAGTGATATTTTGATAAATTTTTGCAGAATACCAAATCTGGGCAAAATTATTCTTCCAAATTTACTGCAGAACACACAAACACAAAACTGTCCATCTGAATTACTGAATAAAGTCAGACTATCTCCACAGATATCTTCCTCTGAAAAACAGTCTAAAAGGATTATCTTCATTTAACATAAGTGAAGACTGAAGCAGAGCGGTTAAGTGACTTCCCTAAAGTCACACAACACAGACTAAAATTGAAGTCTCTAGAATCCAACTCATTAGTTGAACAAAAAAATACCACTTATGAAGCTCCTACTATGTGCTGTTGCTAGGTGCTGAGGATACAAAGCCAAAATTAAATAGCTCTTGAACTCAAGAAGTTACATTCCATCCCCTATCCTGGGTACATTTCCAAAGGAGAAACATGTGCACTATGAAGTAAATACAACATATGTACAAAACAAATACAAAGTAACACAAAGGTCCACTACTTCTGCAAAGGATGTCAATGACTATCTAATCTTTATGTTCCATTTTCTTCAAGAAGCAAGTACTCCTTTCTCAGCAATGCAAGGATCTAAGACATCTCTAAAAGACTCATGATGGAAAATACTATCCACATCCAGAGAAAAAACTATGGAGTCTGAATGCAGATCAAAGTATACTTTTTGCTTTTTTTCTTCTGTTTTGTTTTGTTTCTTCCTTCTTGTGGTTCCTCCTATTAGTTCTAATTCTTCTTTACAATATGACTAATGTGAAAATATGTTTAAAAGGAATGTTTATGTAGAGCCTGTATCAGACTGCATGCCATCTTGGGGAAGGACGAGGGAGGGAGGGGGAGAAAATTTGAAACTCAAAAGTTTATGGAAGTGAATGCTGAAAACTAAAAATAAATAAATTTAAAAAAAGAAAAAGCAAGTACCCCTAAGATAGGAAGTCCCTCTTAACAGATATACATCAGATAAAGAGAGGCATATTCTACCTAGAAAATGGTTGGCTTGGAGGCTGACCTCTGACCTTACCCGGGAGGGAGCTGGATATTTTCTGGATGATGGTAGGTACATAGGTTCAAAACAGCATCAATCAGCTGGATTCTCTCTACCCTTAGGACTTCCACATCTAAGGAGAAAAGAATACCCTATTCAAATGTATGTAACAGACATTAGTACCTATGAAATCCTATACCAGCTTACCTACAGTCTGAGATAAGGGTTTGAAGGGGCCTTGTAACTAAGTAAGGGTAAAAGTTTCCTTGCTAATAAGGACTAGATAAGGGACTTGACCACGCGCCTGACCCTTCTCAAATGAGGCAAGTAAAAAGTCACAGAATTATTGTGGGGGAGACCAATGTCTAGAATGACGACTAAAACTGCAGGGTGAAAAAGACACATGTCAAAGTGGGGAGTCAGATTTGTTGACAAACCAAAGCAGCAGCCTTGTGAGAGCCCCAAAAGAACCTTACCGTCTGCCTGCACAGCTGCAGCTCGCTTCACCAAGTGGTCAGCAAGCTCCATGGCATCAGCAGGACCCAGAGGGAGCTCTCTGGACAGCCCAATCACCAGGATACGCATCAATGTGTCCTCCAAGATGGGAACCTCTGAACAGAGGCGGAGAAAGAAACTGGAATTGGAGAAGGAGAGGTCACTGCTGTTCCAGTTTAATTTTCAAACCAGTAGGAACCACCGCCCTAGGCTACAGGGACAATACCAATAATCTCCATTTGGGAAATTCCCCCCAAACCCTAGGATGCCATCTTCATAAGGCATACATCTTCATAAGGCCACTATGGGAATTTGTTTGACTAACCATTATTTGTCAAAAGGGTGATGGAATTTTTTTTTTCTTTTTCCCCAAAGGATAGGGACGGAGGGTGTGGCAGAGGGAGAAAAAAAATAAATGTTTATTAATTGAAAAAACTTTTTAAAGAGCTACTATAAGTGAACCAGGAATTCTAGTTAGAATCAAAAAGTTCTAACAACTGTAAGTGATATCTGCATTCCACAGCTGCCCCACTAAGTGCCCCAAGCTAGAGAGAATGAAACAGACTTACTTGCGGTCACTTTCTGGGGGCCAATTATCCCATTTGTAGTAGGTTTCTGGCTGTTCTGTAAAGAGCACTTTGTGGAGGCTGCACAGAGGAGAAAATAAAGGAATTCAACATGTAAGAAGCTACTGTCACAGGCTATTTCCAAAGTTTGAAAGCTCTACCAACAAGGCACTGATAGGTAGCTGGCTAAGGAGACAGGAAGATCCAGGCCCAAGACCCACTTCTCACATATCAGGGCTATGTGGCTCTGGGCAAGTGACTTAACCTCTCAGTGTCTTGAGCAGTTCTCCAAGACTATAAGTTGAAGAGCAGGTGCTGACCTGCATTGGTGGTACTAAGAAGTTAACATTTATACAGCACTTTAAGATGGACATATACTATCTCATCTGATCCTCACAACAACCTTAAGAGGTAGGTGCAATCACTATCTCCATTTTACAGATGAAGAAACTGAGGCTAAGAAAAGGTTCCATGAGTTTTCCAGGGTCCCACTGTTAGTGTCTATGGCAAGATTTGAACTCAGCTCTTCCTGACTCCAAGTCCACTTGAAGTCTATCCACTGAGCTACCAGCTGCCCCAGGGCCAGTTTCATCACCAGAAGTCTCTACCCCAATGAAATCACAGATCCCCAAATGGAATGAAGAACTCTATCCTAGGGATTTCAGGAGACTTTTCAGCTTACCAAGAAGCTTTTAACAAGAATCTCGAGGGCAGGAAGATGCTCTGGAGCTTCTCACATCCCTAACAGTGCCACCTGTCTCACAATGAGGACTACTGACAAGTAACTGATATCTAAGTTTCACGTGATGTGTTAGTGTCATAAAAACATAACTCCAAACAAGACACAGAACAATCCCTCCTGAAACTGGAAAAAAGTAGTCGTCATTTAGGATAACGGGATCATTTAACTTTATGATCACTAGCAGCTCCTAATCACAAGCCATCAATGAAGAGGGTTCTGTGAACGGTCACCCACCCCATGCTCCTGCTGCTCTAGTCTGAATCCCACCATATGGCACAAACTGCTGATGAGATGACACAATCTACAGAAAGAAGGCCTGGGGAACGTGGTTGCTTTTGTTTTCCAAAGGCAGGTTTAACAGAAGTCCATCAGAGACTCATACCAATGAACATAGTCTTTGGGCGCCAGTTTGCTGATAGAAGGGACAACGGTGTGGAGCCACCAGACAGCATCACGCTGAATTGCAGCTATCTGGTTCTGGAATGATCGCAGCACTTCTAGATCTGAAAAAGACAAGCAAATAATCAGATGAAACTCTGCGGTAACTTAAAAGAGGAGAGAGCAGTGTGTGGCTATTTAATTTGGCAAACATTCATTAAGTAACCACAGTGAGCACGGCACTGTGCTATGGCCTACGGGACAGCTAAAGTTTAGATAAAACAGCTCATGCCTTCATGGACCTTATAGTCAAGTAGGGCACATAAACATGAACACACAAATGTGACCTCATATGTTATGTGAGGTCTGACTGGGGAAAATCATGACCAACTCTGGCAGAGAAATCAGGAAAGGCCAAAAGCATTAAGTACAAATTCAAGGGGGTGAGGCTCCACGAAGCTAGCAGCTACTATCAAACCAAGATGCACCCTAGTTACTGAATATGAACTAATGCGGACACATGTCCAAGTAAGCCCTGAATGCGATAAAGATGCAAGATAAGCCTGTTGCTCTATTAACATTCCTTGTATTATGACCAAGCACAGTGAACAGAGAGTGGGACTGAGAGCCAAGAGGACCTGAAAGTCCTGCATCCTGGCCACAAGTCATTTAACCTCGCCAGAGTACACTAGGCAACTCATCTCTATGACTATACATCAAGGAAGTGTTGACCTACATTGGTAGAGAGAATTTCCTCAGCAGAATTCTCTCAATCAATGATACTTACAGAGATAAATCTCTATATTAAAAATGGAGCAAACTGCTCTTCCTAGGCCTTCCACACCTCTATCTCTATATTAAAATTACAGAAGACTACCATGAAAATGAAAGAGCTGGACTAAGATCAGGGGTGTCCAACTCTTAATAGCAACAGATCGCTGTGAGCAGCATAATTTAGAAAAACACAAATCAACCTTATCTATGTCACACTGTATTTTTATTTATTTTGCCAAACATTTCCCAATGACATTTATATCCAGTTCAGCCTCCTCAGCAGCTTGAGGCCAAGGGCAACAAGTCTAGACACCTCTGAACTAGATGACCTTTAAGGTCCCTTCAAATTCAAAAGTCCTATAATGATCAAGGTAATAGCAACAAGTTTTAGACAACTGAAATCTATGATTAATCAATTAAGACATTTCTCCTTAAAGCTTCTATTAGAATAGCTTATCAACAGCCAAAAAGATGGAGATGTCACTCACCTCCTTTCCATTCACCTCCTAAACTCCGCTGAAGTACTCACAAAAAATGCAATGACCAAAACAGGAGCAATAAAAGAAGCCAAGAGAATAATCTCCCAATTAACCAGCCAGCCCCTGAAGCCATAGCTGAAATGCTTATGTTAACACTCTAATTATATTGGTAGAAATAGGAAAAAAAGAAATCTCCTTTCTTGATATCTTTAGCACTCTTCTTGGCAAACAGGCCCCAATGTACCTTGACTCTATCTGAAGCACAACCAATCAGCTGACCCCCTTAGGGGCTGAGAGGCTCTGAATGCCACCTGGACTTTGCCTGCCTTGTCTCCAAAAGGAGTCAGTTCTCTAGGACTTACTCTTCTTTTCTCCTTTATCCCATGCAATCCCAGCCTCCTTTACTTGGGCCGTTATGCCCAACATCATGGATACAGCCAGTAAGTCAGTTATGTGGATCACAAAGCGCTCCTGAAACCAAAATTTAATACAAATTCACGTTAGGTGAGCCTCATGCCAGGGATACTTTCTGTCAAGTCATTCAGCACACAAGGAAAAAGGACAATGGGAAAGTCAAACAAGCAGAAAAAAGTACTGGAAAGTAAAATAATGAAAAATGATAGGGCAAGAAATAATCAAGGAATTCATCTATAACTAGGGGAGTTAGAAGGTAGTAAAGAGTTGAGTTAGGCAAGAGAAGACTGGTTTATAATCAGGTATATATTAAAAAATGAGGGGAAAAAAGTGTTGTATGAACCAAATAAAAAGACAGTTGCATCAGAATTCGAGTGACACAAGAAAAATGAGACTGCTCCTCATTCAAATCTCAACAAGAAGCGGACCAAAAAATCAGAATTACATGAAATGTAGTAGAAAAACACAGAAGGCACCAAGAAAAGGTATAAGTACCTTGAATTCCATTTCTAGATATTGTGGTTCCTTTCGTTCCTGCATGAGCCCAAGGCAAAATGCCTGGAAATTAATCTCATGCTTAGTCTGTTTGATTATCTCTCGAAGTAGGGCCCGAGAAGCCCTCAAGTAATCATCTTTATTAGTCAACAGGTCCTGGAACACCATTGCTAGGAACTGTGGCCAAAGAGATTCACAAAGTAAAGACAAGGTACTGTTAAAATCACACATAATTCAACATCTTTAAAAGTCAAGTATTAAATCTACGGCAGTCAAAAGTAGGAAGGTTCCAAATGGTCTAAACTCTTTACTTGAAATACTGCCCCATCTGCCAAAGATGACAGTCAGATATAAGAACTGACATGATATCTACTGCTATGCCCTGCACAAAACTAGTGCTTTGTGTCAACATAACATTAATCATCATCAGTTCTCTTTCTAGGGCCTTTCTAAGTGATTCTCAGAAGGAAAGAACCCATGGACCCAAGTAATTACTACAAGTATTACTATATTTACAAAGACTATTCATCAGTCAAAAAGGTCATAACACAAAAAGTCAAATGTCAGGGCTCTGGAAATTTATCTAGTGTGAGATGCTGATATATCCAATTATTGACACTTTGCCAATCTATTAATCAGTTTAAAGATTCTACTCTTAAATAGAGGCTGAATCTCCTCAAGCCTGCTACTTGCTGCCCCTGAAATGAAAATGGCCTAGAATCAATAGTGAAGGAAAGCTATCTAAGAGCACCTTTGGGGCCAGCTCTGAGCTATGCTGCAGCACAGTGTATAGGATCTGCATGTTGTTTGGGTTTCTTGCATTTGAGAGTTCATTGAAAATCACAAACTTGACTGTAGTGCCCAGATTATCCCTGTGGGCATTTAGCAGTTCCCTGAAAACAAAACCAAAGACCAGAGTGTATGATTATTAGGAACGTGTACTAGGACAAAACTTTTCATGCCCTATATTCTTCCTTACATCCTCTACTCAAGGTTCTTACCTGACACAGAGCATGTAGTGGTTGAGGAGGACTTTGGGCTTGAGCCGGATTTTGATGAGGCTGGAAATGACCTCCATGTCCTCTGAACCATGTGTGCCACAGTTCATGCAGACAGACATCAACAGGTCTTGGGCTGGCCTGGTCAACTGCAGGGATGAGAGATGAGTGATAATACTGAATGATACAATCACCTTTCAGAGTCCAGACATACATATACTCATCTACACAAACACCATGGTGGACTCCAATGGAAATTCCTTCACTTGCTCCAGTGCAGCTGCTCACCTTAGGGTTCTGGAGCCACATCTCCAGCCTCTGTACAGCCATCAGCCGCACTTCCTTATAGCCACAGGTTGCAGTTAGGAGCCGCAGGAGATTTCGGGAGACATTGTCCATAGGCTGTCGACGGTTCAGTTGGTCCCGAAGCATGTCAAGGACATATTCTTCTACACTCTCAGCAAGGTCCTCATATCTGAGGAAGAGAAGAGAAAGCAATCCTAAGTCAACTGAGTCTGGCTCTTCCTACCTTCCCAGCAAGTGAGGAAAAACCTCTGATTCACAGCCTCTTGATGCTCAATTAAGAGCAGAGAGCACCTTAACTAAACGGGAAGAAACGGTCTGTCCTCAGAAGCAGTGGCCAAGCTTTCCCCTGCTCTGGACCATTTTCCTTGGTATCCTGGATTCAGACAGTAGTCATGATCAGACTCTACACACCTGGGCATGAGCTGTCCCTCTTGCTCTGGGCTCAGCTTCTCCTCTGCAATCAGCAGTTCAGTCTGACTGTCTTCTTCCTCAGTAAAGGAAGGATGAGGACTGTTCCCTAGAGAGACAGAGATCCTGATGATACAAACTCTCTTCACCTTTGATTCTGAAGCACCCTCAACACTTAGCTCATGTGGCACCTTCCATGGAAAGAAGCTTGTGGCCCCCTTCCTCAATTCAAGCTTTATAAATTACCTACTATATGTCAGGCATATCCTGGATACAAGAGGTACTGGGGACTCCAAGCTAATAACACAGCCCTTGCCTTTAAAGAATCCTTTCTACTGGAGGGAAGCATGAAGGGAGGGTACATGTACACCAAAAAAGTATGCTACTTTATTTTTTTTACTTTTTCTTGGTTTTTTTTTTAATCTGCATTATCTTTCACAACATGAATAATATGGAAATATGTTTTAAATGACTGCACATGTATAACCTATATCAAATTGCTTGCCTTCTCAATGATGGGGGAAGGGAGGTAGGGAGAGAGAGAATCTGGAACTCAAAATTTTAAAAAACAAATGTTAAAAAGTTTACATGTAATTGGAAAAAAAATATTTTTTTAAATAAAAAAAAGTACACTACCTGGGACAGGGGCAAAGAAGAGTTCCAGACAAAGTCCTATATAAAAAAAACTAAGCAGAAAAAAAGTACTTTATGCTTAAGGGGAAGAGTGGGTAAGGAGATGAGATGGAGGAGAGGAATGAATCAGGGAAGGAAGGACTCATGGAAAAGGCAATACCTGAGCTAAACCTTAAAGGACTGAGGACTGTCAAGCCCAGTTAATGGCACAAAAGTGCTTACATACAACCACTAACTTTCATCCTCCTAGCAAACTCCATCTCTACCAGCATCTTACCAGCACTGAGGTCTCCTCCACTGCGCCCCATCTCTCCTTGTAACAACATGCTTTTAGGAGGCATCTTGGTATTAAATGCTGTCTGGATATTGTCAACAAATGTCTTGCAGTGAGGGCTGTCCACCCAGATCCGTTCCCCGAGGGAATCTTCAATGTAAACCTGGAAAGGATGGCAAGACCAGAAGAAAATAATAATCAGATAGAAAAAGAGGAAGAGAGAACACTTATGGTTTACCCCACATCATTAAGTATTCTCCTGAATTTCTCTTTTAATTATTTCAGGAGTTAAGGCCTTCAATCCTCAACTAAGGCTTGTCCTAGATGCTAGGGAAAAAGGGGAGGGGAGGGAGAGAAAATAGTCCCTATCCTCATTCATAGAGCTCCCAATCTAATGGGAGGATCTGATTCAAATGTGCAATACATATAAAAATGTCACTGTACAAGAACTGAAATGCAACACTGTAAGAACTGTCTGAGAGTAGTCAACAGTATGATATGATGGAACACTGCAGTGTGAAGTCAAAAGAATGAGTTCAAGCACCACCTCTACCCCTTAACACTTGAGACCTGAGGTAAGACACTTAAACTCTTTGGCCTAGTTTCCTCATCTACAAGATGGCAGATGAGGAGTCGATTTAGGATACCTCTGAACTCCCTTTCAGCTCCAATTCTATGGAAACCACAAGTGTGCTGAGTGAGATTCAATCACTACTAACTATGGCAGAATGAAGCCCGGTTTCCTAAAATGAAGTAGCATTTAAGATGGACATCAATAAGCAGAGAAGAGGTGGCATTCTGGGCATAGGAAACAGCATAGGTAAATGCAAGAAATGAAAAAATGTTAATACTTATAAGAAGCAACTAAAAATCCAGTTTGTCCAGAGTACAGTGGATGTGTTAGGGGTCAGTGGGAAAGAAGGTTGAAAAGATAGAGACAAGCTAGATTTTATAACTTTCTAAAAATAGAAGAGGTTATGTCACAAAAAAGTGGGGGTCCCTTTTACTACAGATCTTCAAATGAAGGCCAGATGACCACCTGTCAGGTAGGTTAAAAAGGGGATTCATTCATTTTCAGATACTGGTTGGACTAGACAGTCTCTAAGCTCCTTTCCAACTCTCTGACTACACGATGAGAACGTGAAGGACCTTGAATGACAGACTAAGGAAATCGGAATTTATTCAACTGGCAACAGGAAATCACTGAAGGATTGTTTAGCAGAAAGGGTTAGATTTGTGCATAAGGAAGATTTAATCTGGAAATTGTGTGAATGACAGACTGAAATGTGGAAGGACCAAGAGGTGGAAAAACCAGTTAGGAAGCTTTTGTAGCAGTTGAAGCAGATAGTAATAAGGCGGTCTAGAGCAGTGGCAGTATTCAAAATAAAAAGTAAGGAATGTGAAAGATATCTGGGGGGGGTAGATCAAACAGAACTTAGTGACTGACTGAATTTGAAAGATGAGAAAATGTAAGAAGTGGAAGGAGGCAGGGAATAAATATTTATATAGGCACCTACTATGTGGCAAGACACTATGCTAAGTACTACACAAATATTATCTCATCTGATCCTCACAACAACCCTGGGAGGTACTGTTATCCCCATTTTACAGTTGAGGAAATTGAGGCAATCAGAGGTTAAGTGATCTGCCCAGGGTCATACAACTAGCAAGCAGCCGAAGCAAAATTAAAGCCAAAGATTCAAATGTATGAAAATGGGTGAATGGTGGGTCCACTGACAGATAGGGAAGTCAAGAGGAAAAGTTAATTCTAGAGAAAAGACGATAAATTCGGTTTTAGACCCAACAAGTATGAGATACTACTGAATATCAGCAGCATGTTACAGTGGTTGAAGTACTACTCTTGGAGTTAAGAAGACCTAGGTTCAAATACTGCCTCTGATATTAGCTGTGTGACAATGAGCAGGTCGCTTAAACTCTCTGAGCCTTGAATGCTGATCTATAAAGTGAGGAGACTGGACTAGATGATTCCTAAGGTCCCTTACGACTCTAAATCTGTGATCCTATGATCAAGGTAGAGATGTTCTACAGGCAATTGGAAATGCAAAGCTCAGAAGAGTTCAAGGCTAGATGCAGAGAACTAAATCTCTGTCTTCTACATAGAAATGACAGCTGAAGCACCAAAAGCAGGTAAACAGAATATAAGCTCTGTAAGGATGGAGTGTCACATAAGTCACTTATCTCCCAAGGTTCCTAGCTTTGTAGATATTCAACAAATACTTAGTGAAATCAAAGAAACAATGACAGTGTAACTTAGCGACAAGTAGAAAGACAGGTCTTTGGAAGGAGTACCCAATATGTCAATCTTCCTTCCCTTTGTACACTCCCTTCATCACCCTAAAGAATGACTTCAAGTTTCTTGAAGGACTTACCTTGACAAAGATCTCAGGCCAGTTTTCATCCTCTTCATATGCAGCCATGAGTAAGTTACAAGCTAACACACTAACCAGGCTGTTTCCTTTGGCTTTGAAGTTAATGGAGGCATCCCGGCGAAGAAGGCTACATAACGCCTGGAAAAGATCACTCAGAGATCAAACCCCATCACATCATAACAGAGGGGAGTAATAGTTAAGAGCCAAGATGGGAAATTCTCATATATCTTGTCCTTTTATATAGCCATTAAAATATACCATAATGAATCAATGTCACTTCAAACAAAGAAGATATATATGAGAGGGGTCTTAAGAGGACAAAAGTGAGTACTACAGTTCTCATTAAGCTCCATTGAACAGTTTAGCACAAGTTTCTTACCTCAATAACTCCCTCTGTGGCAAATATGTTGGGCTTGATTTTTGCCAAGTACATCAGGCTCAAGTACAGTGTGGTGTCTGGTTTGGCTCGGGTCATCTTAAGTTGCTTCACGGCTCCACACAGTACCCCTTCAATTCTGTCGTCATTTCCCTCTGACTCTGAAGCTTCAATCTCATCCAGCAAGACTGTGGGCAGAACTGTCAAAAGCAACCAAGCGCTAAGTCAAAGTGAGAAACCAAAAGCAGACAGAAAAGCTGAATATTTCTTTGGCTACTATTATCTCCTGAGTGATTCTAAGTAGAAATTCACTATTCATAGCATCTCAGTGAAAATCCACATGACTTTCCAAACAAGAACAAAGAATTGTTTGGCATTTTATCCTTTTAAAAGCACTTTCACATATTTGTACATTGTCTCATTTAGGTCCTCGCTAGTCTGCAATGTAAATAGGGCAGGTATTTCTCAGAGTTGTTTAAAGCAAAGACAACAGGCACAGGAGGCTAACCAATAACAATACATCACACCTATATAGTGTTTTTAACCTTCCCATCAATTACCTCATTTGCTGTCACACATTGTTTGATCAGCAGGACATTTAAAGCCCTTCATGGGCCAGCTTCCATTTATTTCATAGTACTCCCATTCATATATTCTCTGTCCTCGACAAACAGGATTATAGACATTCCCTGAACCCTATACTGAACTATTTCTCTCTTCTCAGAATCCTAGTCTTGAAGGGGTTCAAGGCTTAAGCCAGATGTGCCCCCTCTTCCACGGAACCTTCCCTGATCCCCCCTCAATTTACTCTACTTCTACTTACTTGTATAGATACAAGCATGAATACTTGTCTTATTTGTATGCGTTGTATCCACAGAATAAGTGAGCTCCTTGAGGACAGGGACTGTTTCATTTCTGTCTCTGTATCCCCAGATACACACAGTGCAAACAGTAAGTGCTTGATAAACATTTGTTAAATTGAATTAATGCCACATATTTGTAAAGCACTGCAAAGTTTACAAAGCCTTTTCACACATACATAATACCACTTGCTCCTCCTATAAAAACCCCGTAAGATCAAGAAATATATTATGAAAGTGAGGGTTAATGGGGACAAATGAGTGACCCAAAGTCACACAGAAAATGAGAGGGTCCCAAGGTAAGGAGTAAGGCCTACCGACTCAGAACCCAATGCTCTTTTCACTTAAAAGTTACCAAGAAAGGTAGCTGGATAAAGCAACAAAACATTGCTAACTGGGACCATCGCCCTTTAGAACCTTACATGGATCCTCATCGATGTATATAATCCTTTTCTTCCCCTTTAACACCCTACATGAGATACCCAGTAATAGCTATTCCAAATAATTTCTTCAACATCCCAACTCCTTCTACCACCTCTTCTCTCAAGTTCTAAAGTGTGGAAGAGGGAAGATTGGGGAACTCTTCATGAGAGGCTGGCATTTCTCATTTAAGCAGGAGGTAAGGCTCTCAGTGCCCTTAATCTTCACTCACTCATTTCTCCTTCCCTCCAGGCTTGGAGGAAGAAGTGGCCTTCCAACCCTTCCACTTGCGGTCTTGATCCCATCTCATGTTCCCCAGGACTGTTGCCTGGCCCACTGCTCTCTCTCATATCTGATCTCCCTCTGTCTACTGACTTCTCCACTGCCTCTAATCCCCTTATTTTACAGATGAGAAAATTTTGGCTTAGAGAGGTTAAGCAACTTTCCCAAGGCCTTCACAATCTGGTTCCAGTTTACCTTTCCATAATTATTTTACACTATTCACTTCCAGAATTCAGCATGCCATCCCCTGCATTTATTCATTTATTGTCCCTCCCCCCAACCTGGAATTGCTTGATCAACACCACCACCCTTGCTAACCACCAGTTCTAAGAATTCTTAGCTTCCTTTCAAAGTTCAACTCAGACGTCACCTCCTACTTAATCAAAGTCTTTCCTGATCTCCCCAGTTGTTGGTGCTCTGTCCATCTTCCTCGAATTACCTCATATTTACTTGCCTGTTTACAAGATGTATCCCCTAATATAATGAAAGGGCAAGGACTATTGCTTATTTTTGGCTCAGTATTCCTAGCACAGTGCTTGCACATACCATCTAAGTTCTGGTTGACTTAACCGACATTTATATGGGTTTACAAAGTACTTTACGTACATTCACTGATTTGAATTTCACAATAACCCTGTGAAAAAGTATTTATCCTCCCACTTCACAATCCAGGTCTTTTCTGATTCTAAGTCCAATACTCTTTCCAAAGCACCAAGGTACTTCTCAAGTGCCACAGTGACTTGCACAGTGTTAAGTACACAGCAGATACTCACTTAAATACTTGCTGAACTGATTATCTGTAAGACTTGCTGCCTGGGTCAGTCTAGGGAAAATTACCTTCAATTGGTACCACAGATGGTTCCTTGATAGAAGGGGAAATGGCTCGTTTCTCTGCCACAGCTGCCTCAGCCAGGCGCCCCAGGGCACTGAGTGGAGGAGTAGAGGAAAGCTTGGGACGTTTTGTGAGGCCAGTCAGGGCTGAGGCTCCAGATAAAGCAGATGCAGCATCTCGCTTTCTTTCAGAGGGTAAACCTGAGGGAGCTGGCTTCAGCAATGCAACCGTCGCTTTTGACTCACTGGCCTGGCCTTTCGAACCCAATGCAATGAAATCCCCTGGTGGAGGGTGCCCTATAGCAGAGAGAAAAAAAGAGAGAAACCACAGAATCCCAGAGCTGAAGGGTCCCTTAGAGAAATCCAGCCAAGGACCTAGAAGGCCACATGTGGCCTTGAAGCCCAAGGTTCCCCCATCCCTGGTTTAAGATATTAGGGCAACTCTGGGGTTGGGTGATTTCTTTTGGAGGCTCATTTTCTAAGTATTGTCTTTGGCACTTAAGTGAATAAGTTTACTATGAGCACTATATTAATCAGTTAAAAAACCAGAAATTTACCTCAGCAAATACTATCACTTTTTTTGTGTATAACAGAAACTGTATGTACTGTTTTAAAGTTTCCAAAACACTTTACATAACCTCACTTTTGCCTCATGTAAACCTATTATATAAATACATGCTATTATGGACTGCGGTAGTATTGCCTCCATTTTACAATGAAGTATTATTATCCCATTTTACAAATGAGAAAACTGAGGGGAAGAAAGATTAGGTGAACTGCCCATGGTCGAAGGACTACTAAGTCTCACAGGGAGAGATTCAAAACCTAAGTCTTCTCTGACTCCGAAGCCAAAGCTCTGTCTACTATACAGAGTTCTGGAGCAAAAGTTCTAGCGCAGTTTTAATCTTTAAAAGTTTAAAACTACACTAAGACTCTGGGAAATCATGTATGAAGTTTAATTCACAGAATGCCCTTAAGAGTCCAAATCCAACCCCGAAAACTGAGACTCAAGGTAGTAAAGTGACAGAACTAGACTTGAACCCAGGTCCTCCGACTCCAGATTTCAACTCGTAGAATTTCAGATCTAGAGCTGAAGGAACCCCCCCCCCGGTCTCCCGATTTCAAATCCCTTATTTTACAAATAAGGAAACCGAGGCACTTAAAGAGACTTGTCATCCCGGGGCTCTCTCCACTGCCCCAGGCTGTCTCCAGGCCGACACTCCCATTTCACAGATGGGGAAACTGAGGCGACCACGAGTCCGTGGAGGCGGTCCTCTGGAGGGGGTGGGGGTGCGGCGGCAGAGGCTCACCAGAAGGCTTGGCCACGGCGCTGGGCCTGCGGACCGTGGTCGGCTTCGCTCGGTTCATCTTGCCCAGTTTGGCGTTCCCGGGGGCCGCGGGGTCGCCTGCAGAGACAGCAGGTTGGGGGGGAGAGGGGCGGGAGTCAGGCGGGCCAGGGCGACGACGCGAGCAGGCCGCCACGGTGGGGATGGGGGTCCCCGATGCCCCTACGGCGGCTCAGAGAGCCAGGAGGGGAAGGGGCGGGCGGGGGAGTGGTGGTCAGGGGGTGGGGGCGGGGGAGGTCAGGAGAGCCGAGGGGGAGGTTCCCCTGAGGAGGATTATGGGAAGGTGGGGGTGCATGCGCCTCAGGAAGAGGCAGCCGGGCGGGGCCCGGGGGAGGTGACGTCTCGAGGCCGTCGAAAGGAGCCCGAGGTCCGAGCCCAGGCGGCGAGGTGTCCCGGCGAATGCACCCAGCTCACCCACCTACAGCCCACAACACGGACCCTCAGTTTTGCCGCCACCGCCGCCGCCTCCGCCACCGCCACCGCCGCGCCGGATCCGGAAACTCATCTGCCTCCTCTCGCTCTCTCCGTTTCTCTCTCTCTTTCTTTCTCTCTCTCCCTCTCTCCCTCTCTCTCTCTCTTCTCTCCTCTCTTTCTCCCCCCACCTCGAGTTCCGCGCCGTCCCGGAACCAAAATAGCTCGGAGGAGCATGGGATTGGGACGGAGGCGGGGACAGGGAGGCTGGGCGGAGCCTACGCAGTGCCTGCAGCGCCCACAGCGCCTCCCCGGGTCGCGCGGCCAGGAGGCGGAACTGCAGCGTCGCTCTGGCGCGCTCAGCCCCTTCACCGGGAGGTGTCTATCCCTGACCAGCTGTGCTCCAAGGGCCGGGGATGCTGCAGCTGCCCGGCGGTGCTTTCTGCTGCTTCTAAGCCGCGCTCGCTGCCCTTCTCTGTCCCTGTGCCTCCAAGAACTCCAACAGTAGAGGTTTCTTCTCATCCTTCCCAGGACATCTCCGGCAGTGGGAGGGATAAGACTCAGGGGTGAACAGGGACGTCAATGAATTTTCTCTTGCCAGAACGTGCCTCTCCTCCGCTTCCCGCAAAGGGATATGGATTGAGGGTTTGAGGGCATCACCTCTCCTCTCCTCAGTCAGGAATCGGGAAGACCTGGGTTCCGATCCTGCCTCTGACTCATACTAGCTATATTCTCAATGCCCTCAGGCAATTGCAGTTCTCTAACTTTCAGAACAGTTGCTGATCTACATTGTTAGTAGGCATTTTCCTCACTGGGAGTTCCCTACACCATTTGAGTCACAGGTCAGCAACTCCCCCCCCGAAAAAAAAAAGAAAAGCAGGCAAACAATGCCAGAAATGTCCAGGTTTGGTGGAAATACCATTGGTTTTTGGAATGAGAAGAGATAGATTCTAGTCCACAACCCTAATTCAAAACTCTCATTATTGTTCTGGACTGCTGTAATTGTCTCCTAATTGATGTAGCTTCAGCAGTTCTCTCTAATTCATTCTTTAGGGTCTGATTCTATCACTTCACTGCTCGACTACCTGCAGTGGTTCCCTTTTGCTTCTAGAATGAAATGTAAATGCCTTAGCCTGTCATTCAAGATCTTCCACAATCTTATTCCAATTTAATTTTCTGGCCTTTCTTAATACAACTCCCCTTATGCAATCTGTGTTCCAGACAGATGAGACTACTAATCATTCTCCCATCTTATCCTTCTCTCCAAGCGTGAAATCCTTCCTTTTAATATTCATTTCAAATGCCACCTCCTGTCTGAGGCCGTCCCTGATTCCCCTGTACCTATAAATGATCTTTCTTTCTTCAAATCTTTCATGCTGCTTTGATCTTTCCTATGCAGCAATTACATTCTTATTTTTAGTAAACCTATCTATGTATTTTTATGCCCTGAACACCTTGGATATGGGGAGGGGGGTTGCATTGAGAGTGAATAGAGGATGATACCTAGGTTTTGAGCCTGGGGGACTGAAAAGATGGTGGTGCCTTTGACAGTAATAGGGAAGTTTAAAAGGGGAGAAGGTTTTGGGGAAAAGATAATGAGTTCAGTTTGGGGTATGTCTAGTTCAAGATGTTGTATAAGTGGTTGAAGATGTGAGACTGGAAGAGGAGAGGTTAGGACTGGATAAGTAGATTTAAGAATCATCAATATAGAGATGGTAATTAAACTATGGGAGCTGATGAGATCACCAAATGGAATCATATAGAGGGAGAAGAGAGGAGGGCCCAGGACAGAATTCTACGGGATATAGCAAAGGAGACTCAGAAGGAGTGGTCAGATATTCATTCATTCAGTTAAACATTAAGTGCCTACTATGATTCCAGGCACTGTGCTAAGCACTGGAGATACAAAAAGAGACAAAAAAAAAAAAAATCCTGCCCTCAAGGAGCTTACAGTCTAATAGGAGAGACAACATGCAAACAAATACTTACAAAGCAAACTATACAGGATAAATAGGAAATAATTAAAAGAGGAAAAGCACTGGAATTCAGAGGGGTTGGGCAAGGCTTCCTGTAGAAGAAGAGTTTTTAGTTGGGACTTAAAGGAAGCGAGGAAGGTCAGTAATCAGAGTGGAGGAGGGAGATTGTTTTAAGCATAGGGGACAGCCAACCAGAGAAAATGCCCAGAGCTGAGAGATGGAGTGTCTTACTTGTGAAACACTCAGGAGGCCAGTGTCACTAGGCAGTGTCACTAGATTGCAGAGTACCTGATAGGGAGTAGGATGTAAGTAGACTGCAAAGATAAAGGGAGATATATAGCTTCATGTACATGCTGTCTCTTCTGTCATATTGTGAACTCTGAGAGCAGAGATTGTCTTTTACCTTTGTATCCCCATCACTTAACACGGTGCCTGGCACATAGTAGGCACTTAATAAATGCTTGACTGACTGAACACTGGTAGAACATTGTAATTTTTCATCGTTATATACATAGCACCTTGTGCTTTGCACATAGCAGGTGTTTAATAAATATTATTAAATGAATTGAGTTTCGAAAGGAGAAACTGTGAAATGGAATAGGGAGTGACAGCAGAACATCCCTGGGATTACTTAACGCTTAATAACCAAGTTTGACCCACCTTGCATGACTTGCCCAAGGTCACGTCATGGCCTCTCTGTTGGAATTGATGTTCTTTCTCCTCTTTTCTGGCATTTGTGACTTAATTATACCCTGGGCTAAGCTGAATACCTCGTCATGGTTTTGTACTCACTGGGAACCATTCTTCAGCATTCCCTTGGCATTACACAGATGAGCAGACATGAGCACAGAGTGCTGTAGTGGCAAGAGAGAATAAAGTCATCATAGGAGAAGAGACATTGGGGAACCGCCCAGGAGCAAGGGCTTTACCTAGAAGGTGGCAGCTGCACATTAGCCAAGGCAAATGGCAATTGGTAAAATGGCAGGGCGGGGAGAGTCAGCCTGGCGGAGCCGGGACTTGGTAATCACAAAGACTTCCAGCGCTGGCCATCTGTATGGTCCTGGGCAAATCATTTAACTTTTCTGAACCTCTGCTTCCTCATCTGTAAAATGGGGATCTATTGCTTACCTCCCCGGGTTGTTGTGAGGATCAAATGAAATTATGTGTGAAGGCTTTGGCAAACCTTAAAGTGCTTATATAAATGTCAGCGATGATTATTATTCTCTTTGGAGACTGCCCCGGGTAGAGGGTAGGGTTGGAGAGGATCTTCATTTCAAAACAAGGACTTACAAAGTACTTACCTAGACTAATTCCAAAAAAAAGGGATAGTGATTAGGATTCTAGTAATTTGATTAAGTTTCATGTGAAGAAGGGAAAATCACTAGACCTAAAATCAGAAAAGCTGGGATGGAGTATTGGCAGCGAGGTGATACAGTAGATAGAGCTCTAGGCCTAGAATCAGGAAGACCCAAGTTCATAATCCAGCTTCAGACATTTACTAGCTGCGTGACCCTGGGCAAGTTACTTAACCTCTGATTGCCTCAGTTTCTTCACCTGTAAAATGAGCTGCAGAAGGAAACAGCAAACCACTCCAGTATCTTTGCCAAGAAAATCCTAAGTGGAGTCACAAAAAGTCAGACACAACTGAAATGACTGAACAATAACCTATACTAGCTATGTGGTCTTAAGCTATTGATTTCACTACTCTGAGTCTCAATTTTACCCTCTATAAAAGGCAGGAGATTGGGCTAGAGACAGGCTGAATCTTTTCTTGTATTGTAGACTCCTTTTATAGTCTGGGGAAGCCTCTTCTCAGAGGGGGGACCACTTCTCAGAACAATGTTTTTAATGAATTGAAAGGAATGTTAATTTTCATTTAGAGGTTATTGAAAATAAAGATGTAATTTTTTCCCCCATCCAAGTTCATGGACCCCCTGGAAACCTATTCATAGATGTCTATGGCATCTATCTATGGACTCCAAATTAAGAACCTCTGGGCTAACTACTGAGTCTGTATCCCAAAGAAATTTTTTTTAAAAAGTAAAGGAAAAGGATCTTTATCAGAAGTGGGGAACCTGCGGCCTCAAGGCCACATGTGGCCTTCTAGGTCCTCAAGTGACTGAATCCAAATTTCATAGAATGAATCCCCTTAGTAAAAGGATTTGTTCAATAAAACTTGGACTCAGTCAAAAGGCCACACCCAAGGACCTAGAAGGCCACATGTGGCTCCAAGGCCACAGGTTTCCCACTCCTGATCTATATGTACAAAAATATAGCAGCTCTTTTTGTGGTGGCAAAGAATTGGAAATTGAGGGGATGTCCATTAACTGGGGAATGGCTGAACAAGTTGTGGGATATGATTGTGGTGGAATACTATTGTGCTATAAAAAGTGACAAGCAGAATGGTTTCAGAAAAACCTGGTAAGACTTACATGAAATGATGCAAAGTGAAGTGAGCAGAACCAGAACATTGTACACAGTAACAGCAGTAATGTACGATGATCAACTATGAATAACTTGGCTAATCTCAGCAATACAGTGATCTAAGACAATTACAAAGGACCCATGATGAAAAATGCTATCCACTTTCAAAGAAAGCTTTGATGGAGTATGAATGAAGATTGATGGATATTTTTTTTTTACTTTTTAATTTTTTCTTGCCTTTTTTTGTAA